CTTTATTAAATTATTAGTAATTATATATTTTGTGATATTGATAATATTTTTATATAAACAACTAAAATTAATTACGGAGTTATTATTTATTTGTAGTATTGTGATATAAATATAAATTATCATAATCTCTACACTAAACATTGACAGGTGACAGTTTTTCCACAAATTATGAGAAGAAATCTAATTAAGAGGAATCATTTGTGAACTTTTATGGTTGCGCCTTCGACTTTAGAGACCCTAAGCTTGCATTTTATGTTTTGTTTAAGTATATAAAGAATGTTCCAATTTCGTTTACGTTGTTAGTAGTGCCAGCAGTGAGTGCATAATTTCGCGCAAACTATAGTGAATATTAGATTCAGATTTATTTGCGAACGTAACTGATAGCATTATCTTTGAAATATGTGCTCCTGGAGTGCAAATTAGTAGCGTAAAAAATTAAAATTAATTATTCCCTTTATGTGGTTACAGAGCGTTTAGTTCCACCGGTCTTCCACAACGCGGCGCTAGTGTTTCTTACCCCGTAAAACAGAGAAATTTTCATTTGCGAAAAAACCTAATTTAGCGAAATGAATTGTAAACTTTCGTGAGTGTATTACCCTAATTAGACCTTTAGTTTTCTTTTCATATCCCATTTGACCCGTAAAATGCAGAAATAAATATTTTTATAATTAGTACCAGCGAGTTACCGCTAGATGGCGCCACCATGTCCATTTTGTGACAATTCGCACTAATTGCGAGAAAAACCTAATTAAGAGGAATAATTTGCAAACTTTTTTATATTCCTCCTTAAAATTAGGCTTCCCGCTTTCTTTCTATGTGTGTTTTGTCCTAGAAAAACGTGTGTGTAAAAAGTTGAGTTTTTTTTTCAATAGATCAAAGGATGTCCTTGTTGCACACTGTTGCTTTCCTTGTCCAGCGTTATTAGACAAGGAGAGCACTAGCGTGTGACAAGGACAGACATATCTGTGCGGTAAACAAGGAGAGTGATAGTGTGCGACAAGGTCAACAATATAAATTAATTCCGGCACCTATCCTTGGGGTGATCCACACGGTGCGCAGTTTGCGGACTAGATCTTAGGATAGGTCCAGTCCGATACATACTTCCTAGGAGATCCCTCACCCAAGCATTTAGGGCCAAGGGCCGCCATTATCACAGACGAGACATATGATATGATTTATATATGTACCTCGTCTGTTTCTTAAGCTAGAGTGCTCTAAAAAAACCAGTAATTTTTTTCCTGCTGAATTCAGACTCCGAGACAGGAAGTCTCATTTCATGTTCAGTCTACTCTATTTTTAGTCAATGGTAATACATAGTACTAACTAAATGCTAGAGAAGGAGGTGAATACAGTGCTTTGCTAATTGTCCATGAATTTAGAACTTACGACCCTTTATTAACAGAGACATATTTTTTATTATAAGTCTAATCTTTTTTTGTCATAATTTAAAGCACGTATAATTTTCATAAAGTATTAATAATTGCAAAGCAGAATTGAAAAGAGCACTAATGAATGGGCTTAGAAAAATGCACAAATAAAAAGTGCATGGTACGCATATGTGACTTTTTAACCAATACGCATATTTTTTAACTATCAACTAAACCCACCTTTCTTCCTGAATCTCCCAATTTACTAAGCATCATTTCTAGTATATTTCAGTATTTAGAAAGGTATTTAGTAAAGATCTTAATTTGTTTCCACAATGAAATTAATTGAAAGTAATTATTTTATAGAAATAATTTAATGATTAACACATAGTAATATTAATTTACAATGTATTAATTTATTACAACGTGCTAATCATTAATTACAACTAGTAAAATTTAAAATTATGTTTCAATATAGGTCGACAATTTTGAACAGTTCCACGTAAAAGAAAAAAAATCTTCCTGCGTAAGTCATTACTTTTTCAAGAAATATTGTTGCTTTTACGTATTTACGCATTGTAATGGTATATTAAGGATATATTAGGAATAGTATATATTAAGAATAGTATGGTTTGAATCAACTGTACTGATTAACGTAGTTCAATTGAGCACCTCTATACGGAAGTGACAGGAGTTGCGATTGGTAGGGTAGCGTTATTTTATTACGTGTCATGTACGCAAATCTGCATTTCTCGATTGCTTGAGAATCTTGAAACGGGCTTTCGAAGTTCTTTAATATTTGATTATCTTAATTATTAAAGGTATTTGAAATTTGTATTTTTAATTGTTTTAATAGCAAAGTGTACAAGTTTATTATTTATTGTGAAGTGCGTGCATCCTAGTAGCATTTAAAACTGTCATAAACATATGTAATACAAATATAGTACTTCGTTCACATTGTTATTTCATACTTTAAGAAGCAATATTGACGGTATGATTTAAATGACAAACATACCATTTACAAAGATTAACATTTGCGATAAAAACTACTTTCGATCTTGAGCCAAGCTACATTCGTTAATTTTTCTTAGCAGTCATTCAAAAATATTCTGACACTTTAGTGTTCTCCCAGATTTCATTACCAATTTATTTACAAAGAAGATGGTAAGTTCATTTCAACAACCATTAACATATATTTCTTTTTGTAGCAAGAAGATGCGTCAATTGAAGGGCAAGACAAAAGAAACGAATAAACAGAAGAAAGAGAGGAAAAAGGAATTTCTAGAGAACAAACAACGTGTTTTTACAGTTGTGTTGCCAACCATTGCTGCGATATTTGTTGTAATAGCAGCATATGTTTATGTTAAAACCCGTCCAAAAGTTGTTGAATATTAATTGGCGTGTGTTCATTGATCATTAAAACATAATACATAATGTATTTCAAGAATGCTTGGACAGTTCCTTGATACATTTGTACAACTAAATAAGAATTGTTTGAATAAGAACGCAGATTTGAATATCTGCTCATATGGCATTTCATTCCTATCATTCAATAATCAAATATAGACACTGTGTATTAATTATACAACTTTTACAAAATATTTTTCATGCTAAATGTTATAAGATACTGGAATATATATATACATATATATGTATATATATATATGTACCAATTAAGGGGATGTAATTAAGACATTTTTATTATATGAGAAAAAAAAGTATTTGTGCTATCATTGAAGGATCTATCTCTATCGAAGTAGTTAGCTTTCAAATTTGTACATTAAATTGTAGTTTATTGCATTTTCACAAATGTAATTTTGTAAAATGATTGACTTTAGTAGAGAATTGCTCCGATATGAAAAAGATAATTCCAAAAACATTGCATTTTTAGCACAATACATGTTTTTTTCCATATGAGTTATTTTACATAGTTTTATGAAATATCTAGTAACTGTACTATTCTTTAAAATAAGAATAGAGAATATTGTTTTATAAAATATTTGCATAATAAATATAATAAATATGGATATAAAATAATCTTAGTGTACACTTATTATTTCAAAAAAATTATTCTTTTGCATAACAGAAAAATTATTCTTTTTCTTTATCCTGATGTATTTTCTCTATTCGAATAATCTTATGAAATTGCAGCAATTGTGTTTTATATTGTCAAAGACAAGGTACCATCTGCATGGATATTCAATGAACTATGAACATGCAACTTATGGTTATGAAAATAACGATTGAGAACCACTACCTTAACCACGTTATACCAATAGGGAGGTAACACGTACATAGATGTATACATGTGAACTGTCGGCATCTATTTCTTTATAAATTAAACATTTTATTAGTGTTTTAAAAATGAGAAAACATACTATTTGTTTCTCATTTGTAATAATTCTATTTTGGACCAATTCTGTGAAAGGTATATCGACATTTATTGTATTTTCTATGAAACGTCAAAATCAAGTACAGTAACAGATATTGTATATTTTGAAATATTAATGTTATATTAATGTTTCAAATGAAATAAATTGTTATATCTTACATTTTAATTGTTGTAAAGCATTCTATCAAATTCATTGATATCACTTCTGTTCTTTTTTTTTTTTGTTTATTTTTATATTAATCAAAGTTTTATAACTAAGCAACTTCGTAAATATTATTCATTTCAATGTATTACATACAATTGTATTATATTCCATTTAAATAACTAATTACATATTATTATTCTTAAGAAAAGTTATTATAAAATTTATAAATAAAAATATATGTATGTACATAGCTAAAGGTACACAGCATGTGACATGTGGTTCTACTTTAAAATTAATGAATGTGGATTATAAAGTAAGATTACATTCTCATGACATAAAATATGGAAGTGGAAGTGGTCAACAATCAGTAACAGGAACCACAGCAAAAGAAGATGGAAATTCTTATTGGCTTGTGAAAGCAGGAACAAAGAAACAATGTACTAGAGGGTTTGTATCTAGTATTAATTCTTAACACATCTTTTAATAGTAATTAGAATAATTTTTAATAGGACACCAATCAAGTGTGGAGATACTATAAGATTAGAACATATAGCAACGAAAAAGAATCTTCATTCTCATCGTGTTAGTTCACCACTTAGTGGAAAACAAGAGATATCTGCTTATGGTGACAACAAGGGAGAAGGAGATAATGGTGACAATTGGCTTTTAGTATGTCAAACTGAATTTTGGAAAAGAGATGAATCTGTTATGTTAAATCATGTAGACACAGATACGTAAGTTTTTTGCATCTTTGCATCATACGAAACAAAGAATCTTTTCAGTATTTAGAAATGTTTTTATTTTGTAGGTATTTAGCAGTGAGTGGAAGAGTTTATGGTAATCCTATTACTGGCCAGATTGAAGTAATAGGTGAATATTCTGCTTGGTCTCCTCACATTGAATGGGTAACAACAGAAGGAGTATTTATTCATCCTAATGACTTTAAAGCACAACACCATGTACATACCGAATTATAAAATGAATTCTTTAGTTAAATACAGAATTTTTCATGGTAATAGTCTTACAAATATAATTTATCATAAACTGAAATTATGTAAAAACATCAGTATCTGATTATTCCATATTTCTGTAAAGAAAGATTTTTCTACAAAGTAATTTATATACTCTTATATAATATATAAGAAATTAATTGTATCATTAATAATATAATTTTTTTAAAATTGTATATTAAAAAATTTCTGTTACCTATTCATAATTTAAACGACATTCAAATAAAATAAATAATTCTGATTATTTTTGTTGTGATTTTTATTTTATATACATATAATTTATTTATTATTTATATACATATAATTTTAAATTATGTGTAAATGTAATGCAAAATTATTTCGTCATATTGTATTTATGAAAATTTGTGTAAAGAATGTAGTGTTTTATACAGCTACAATATAAAAGTGTAATAATGTAAAAATATGAAACTGTATAGTATAAAAGTATAAATGTATTAAATATATGTGATATTTATTACAATATAATGCAATTTATAATACTTGAGAAATTTATATTTCATTTTATGTATACATGTTCATGAAAAGTTCCTAATGTTTAATTGCTACAAAGCTTCTATTTTTCATTATATTTGCTTTAATTCGTACTTTCCATTGAGATCTCTAGTCCCTATAAGACCATTATATGGAAAAATAATGTTTGAGAGACCATAACTTCCAAAAATTTCTCTCAGAGTTTGTTTTCCTGATAAATTAATATACCGCTGTTTTCCTGTTATGCAGCTATGCAATTTCCATGTTGCATATACCAGACAAATACACAAAATGGAAACTAATATATCAAACATCGTTACAAGTAGTATATAAGTATTTTCTCTAGAATGTAATAATCTAATAAGTGCAACAGGAAAACAGAAATTTAAAAATATATTGAAGGAATCTGTATCTGTTCTTATTACGCGATTAATATTGTCATATAAATATGGACCAAGAGTACATAACGAGTATATACACGTTAAAGATGTATAAAAGCAAAATAGAATAAAATTGCCTACATTTTGTCTTAATATACAAGCACCCAAAAAAAAACAATGATGGTCGCGAAAGTGAAAACACTTCCTGCAAAAAATACAATGTTGTGTTGGCTTACATGTATAACTAATACATTTTTCGCAATACCAGTACTTATATTCAGCATTATTCTCTGCCTTATTATATATTAATAACTTCTTTTCCATAGTTTTAACTTCCATAATTGTTGCATTATGACTTATAGCGTACACTGAATACCAATTTAAATATACTTGAATACAAAAAAATATGAAAACTGGAGTAAGTTTTTCATTAATATATGCTGTTAAAATGATAACAACTATACTATATATCAATGCAATGAATGGACAGACTTTTACAACAATTTGAGGAAATGCTTTCATATTTTCTAGATTTACATGGAACAAACTTGAATAAAATTTAATAAATTTTGAGTTATTATCTTCTTCATATTCCTCTTTATTATTTTTATATTAATCCGCTATATGAGTATTTTTTTTTTCCCTGCAAAGACACACATATTATAAAAATTTTCCTCTTTATTTTTAAATCTTAACGGTAAAATAAAAGTTTGACGTTTATTTCTATAATCTTGTAATATTTACTATTATTATAAATAACGAAAGAAAAAGACGTTTAATGACAGAATTCGATGCATTGATTAACTTACTTTTCAAAAAATAAATATCCACGACGAATGTTCAAAATATATATGTTGTATTGTATTTTCAATATTAGCTAATTGGTAAATTCTTAGAGGTTAGTTCATTGTACTTATTATAACCTCTTCAACATTCTAATTGCCAAATATTTTAATAAAAATTTTGATAGATTACTTTTTTTTTTTAATAAAAAGATAATGTTATTGTAATAATATATGTAATGTCAATAGCGTTCAGTTTTTTCTATTTTCTACACATTCATAAAACATAACTTTTCGGTAAATGCTCCATTCATACTACAGACATCAGCACATAAAAAATGCGAAGCATACAAGATAGAAATGATTTTCAAATTATGAAATTTTAATAAAATATAAAAGAAAAATTAATCTTACGTACTGTATTATATAAAATTAACTATGTTAGGTAAACAACAGGATATTTTATAAAAACAATTATTTTTATTGGTATATTTGCATACATTAAATGTGATTTGGAAAGATAGTAGATTTAATATAAATAAAATGATAAAATTATGTAAAAATTTGACTTTCTTCATTTTGTTAACAAGTTTTTGAGGATACTTTTGAATACACTTACATAGTATAAAAATAAGCTTAAATTATATACACCTTGATATAAATATATAAATGAATAAAATAAATGAATTTCAAAAATAAAAGTTTAATGAACGTCACAATAATTCCAATGATTAAATATTTCTTTTTTAAAATATGTATCACATACCAAATAGGTTTCTCTTCATTGACTCTTTTATGTATATTTATACACTATTTTTGTTATGCTCAAACTTTGTACAATCGTTTTTTTTAAATCAGAAATCGAACTTTGAACTTGTATTTTATTGCTTATAATCATATATATAGTATTAAATAAGCACATTAAATGTATATCATTTTTTATAAAATTATTTTTCTTTTCTTTTGTTTTTACTAAAAAAAAAAAAAAAAATGTAATTTTTTT